TGAAATTTTATTGCCTTCACATCCTAGCATTACTCATCCTGCACTCGTGCTGGCGAATTCTGGGAGTTGAAATCCACACCTCTTAAAGTTTTGTGGGAAATGTGAAATCCACACATCTTCAAGTGGCCAAGGTTGAAAAACACTGGTCTATGGCCTCCTCTTGATGTCTGAGGAGCAATTAACTTGAATAGAAAACTCTAGCTGGTATTTTCAAGGGATTATCTCCAGTTCAGTTTATCTGAAGCTCTTAGATATTTGGCTTGTGAATAAATCTGGTTATTCCTAACAGAGAGATGGGTAAGTGTGTAGTAGCGAAGAGCATCTAGGGCACATCTAAATGTCTCCTTAACTTTGACTCAAAGTCCTCAGCTAACCAATCTTGAAGAATACATCTACATGACATAGCCTCCCTCTCATTCTTAGCCCTTAACCAAGGCAGATTAATTTCTTGTTTTTCTGAACCAAAGCTGAAGTGGTGTTTTCCATGTTCACTTGACACCAGCCTCGCTATCCACATAATTGTGGTGGTTTGACGGTGACCAAGCTTATGATGCAACAAGAGGTGGGAGATCAAGCCAACTGTCTGGATGCGTCCTTAGTTTTTATCATTATTTTTTCAGCAGCGGGCAGTGATGGTGGGTAGAAGTAAGTCTTTCAGCATTATTCCCTAATTCCAACCCACATTACTCTATATGTAAAACCTTCATCCTAGCAGCAAATATTTTATGAGTCTCCCTAGATAAACAGGTGATGACAACATAATAAAATATATCAGGAGGTCAGAGTGGCTTGTTATGTTGTTTTCTTCCAAGTGAAATGCTGAGCAAAATTATTTACTATCCTTGATTAAAGCTTGCTACCTTATGAAAGAGTCAGAGAAAGTTTTCTCTAGAGTATAGATTCCACAGCATACCCTTGTGAACTCCAGATGGCTGGAGGGTTCTGGGAATTGTAGCATAACAGAACTGGGCACAAAAGGGTAGGGAATGTTAAACTAGCTGAGCAACCCTAAAACAAAGGATTTAACCTGCAGATTAAACACTAGAACATTTAAGTTCTTTCTTACCTTGTCCAATGTGGCTACGAAGAGTAAGATGAGGATGAGAACGTGGAGGGCTGTGACTGCAAAGAGAAGGAAACTCATCCTGGCAGCTGAATGGAGAGAGAAGAAAAACATACATTAAATTTACACATATCCTTCCTCATTGCTGCTCGGAGCAACTAGGAACCACTGTCTTCCCAGGCAACATCAACTCAACTGTGTCCCCAGCTCAAACTGATAAATTCTGCTCCCTCCAGATTCTGCATCCCAGAGTCTTTCTCCCTGTTATCCAGCCATCCCCATGTCCCTTCCGAAGGATTCACAAATCTCAACTCCAAGGAAAAAAATGGAACATTTCTCCTGTTACTCAGACCTTAGCCAGTTTATTCCAAATGGTCTCAGGAAGCTCAGATTTTGAAGCCCTTCCTTGAATGCAACGTATTTCCTCCTACCCCACATCAGAGAAAGCAGAATCTGGGCTCCTCCCGCTAGTTTAAATTCCTGCGGCTGTAAGCCTGGCTTAATATGATCCAGATGTTTCAGAATTATGTGAGCTCTGGGCAAGCAGAGGGAGGTAGAAGGGGTAGCAACTGCCTAGATATGTTGCCGTCCTTCTCAGTCCCATCAACCTCCCCCTCCCCCCCCCATAGTTTGGTTTTCCTCCAAATGGCAAAGAGGGAATCTGGATAGACAGTACAGAGCAGTGAAAAGAAATCTGGAGCTGAGTTTAGAAATAAACAAAAAATGCTGACATTTTCTCATCTGATTCTTATTACTAGCAGCTATTTTCTCAGTTTGTTTTAGTGCCAAAGTTTCCCTAAATACGGAGCTTTGCTGATAAGGTACATGGCTCAGGTTTATGTTTTTATTTAATATTGTCAAGTTAATCACCAGGAATTCCTTTAACAGCAAATCTGATTCTCCAGTTACTTGTATGATGACCATATACTGACAATAATACATTGGCTGAATTCCTACTTTGCAATTTAAGATGTACATTTAAAAAAAAATAATGTACACATTAATCTGGCATTTAAAACACATTTCACCCTGATACATATTAAGCCATATGTATTTCCCATTCTGGGAAAATTTAATTCATCATCACCTCCAACTTAGAAATGGAAAGATGCTGGTTAATCCATTAATTCAATTCTTCTTGAGAGTCCAAGGAGTCTTTAATCTTCTATAGCTCATATTGTTGCACATGCTGGCTGGGGCTGCTGGAACTTGTAGCTCAACCCCAACCAAAGCATGGCCAATAATATGAGGTTTTGGGATCTTTGACTTGACAACATCTGGAAGGCCTTATGTTGCTCATCCCTGAACTCTAGCAATGGATGACCAACTCTTTGAGTTTTATCATGTGATTTTAAGTGATGTGGGAGGCACCTACTATTATTATTTAAATAAAATGGAAATGGCCTAAATCTTGTAAAATCTCATCTGAGCCATAGGAGACAACAATAGCACCTTTGTCCTTCTTCCTTAGCAAGAAAATGTTTTGGGGTCAGCCTTACTGATGACCACTCCTGAGATTTGAAAAAGTATTTCATTTCATGTTAGAATAGTTCTTAACTTTTGTGCCCTTGGCCCCTTTTAGAGCCTGGCAAAACCTACAGACTACTTCTGAGAAAAATGTTTTTAAATGCATAAAATAAAATAGTGAAAATTAAGTTGTAAATGTTATTCCATCAAAGCCCATGGATCCCCTGAAAACTATCCATGCACCCTCAAGTCTATGGACCCCAGGTTAAGAACCCCTGTTTTAGAATAAAATAAGAAACCCAGTCTGATGGGCTAAGAGATCTAAGCCAGCCTCCTAAGGCTGAGAATTCTGGGAGTTGTAGTCCCAATATATCTGGAGTGGGTAAATTGGGCAATATGAGTGTAAGCTACAGGATAGCTACAGATATCTCAACTCTCATAGTAGGACAGCAGTTTAGGGGATCTCATTATCTACCATGTGATTATTTTTCATTCTGATCTGCTTCTTCACTAATGCTGCAATATTATCCTTGAAGTGGCATTTCCTTCATTTGTAATCTAAATAGAAAAATTCCATGGATTGGTTCCTACATTTGATTTTTTAAAATTCTCTTCTGCTTTCTGTTTCACATGGGCAACTTTAGCAAGTGACGCATTTCAGAGACTAAAAAGGCGTTCCCTTCCTTGTGTAATCCCCCACCAAGTAATTGAAGTTTCCTGACATCGGCAGTAAACAACCTTCTCCAGTGCCGAAGGTGGTCAGATGATGGCTGGGCTAGGAAAGCTGTGAAAGAGTTAACCTGCTGCTAAATCAAAAGACACCCATTCTTGGAAAGCTTGGTTACTCTGCAAAGATGCTTAAAACAGCATAATTATAAGGTAACATGTACAAAAATACATTCTGTAAACTTAGCAGCACTCCTTGCCCTACAAAAATAGGGGGAAGCCCTGCAAAATTCAGCTCAAGCTTAAAAGCAAGCGCTACTGTATTTGAAGAGATGTACTTGAAGAAAAGTTTGCGGAAACTCGACAATCAATTCCATCTCACAATATTCTGTATATATTTATTCAGCAGTATATGTAGCCAATGAGACTTACTTGTGAGTATGTCCACATCGGGCTCCAGACTTAAGAGTTTTTTAAAATTCTATTTAAATCTTAAAGATCTACGGTAATCTGCATGAAGTCCAGTTTTTTCACAGTAAGGCCATTTTTAAGTTTTTCAGCTTCTTCTTTGCACCATAATTAAAAGTTACTTAATAACACAGAAAGAAATCCAGTGTACTAGCCAGTGAGTTGGGTTTTGCATTTCATTGTGATGTAATAGACCCATTTTAGGAAGAACATAACCCAGAAGTGGGGAATCTGTAGTTTTCCAGATGTTGCTGAATGACAACTCCCAGCAGCAACCCCAGGCAAGGTCAGTACCGTACTGAGGAACGCTACAAACCTTAATCAGACAACATCTGGAGGATCATACATAGCCACCCCCTTCCTTACAACTCCTCACTCCCAGATTTTTCCCCAGTGCAGTTTGCGTGGAATGAAGGCCAGGTATACTTTACGCCTTAATTTCCAGCAGACCACCCTCCTGCTAATTCTCCAACATCCCTTTTTCTTTTTTATTGCGGTCGCCCGCCGGCCCTCCGCCCAAGAATTAAGTGTTTTGAAATCTAAGAGAATCGCGATTGGCTAAAATTGGGGGATTCAGGAGGTGGAGCCTCGGGATTTCAATTGGCGGCTATTCCACTACCTTTCCCCCAATAATTTAAATGAGAAGCTGAGGGGCGAATGGAAGCAAAAGATGCGTTCGGACTCCTTTTTTTTCTAGACTGCTGTGCTGTTGTTCATAGACTGGCCAAACTACCGCGCCAAACAATAGAAAAACTCAGCGAAGGCAACGACCCGCGTCTGCAAAGCAGGGCGCGAATGATAATGGAGGGAGAGAGGGTGGGCGGGTGGAAAAGCGATCGCTGGAGAAAGGATGGGCGACCTAGGGGTTAGATTAGA